TGTTCCTCTAAACCCATTTTCCTCGGATTAGGCCTTCTGATGCTGTCTTCCAAGTGTTGAGTAGACCTATCATATTTCTTGGACTTGTCTTGGATGGTTGTATGTTCTTTCTCTATAATATCTAGGCTGTCTTCAATCCCCAAGATTTGATCTTCTGCATGGTCTAACCTGCTGTCAAGACTTTCTACTTCTTTTTTTATTTCTTTTTCCTTCTAATTAGTCAGCTTTGATGGCTTCAAATTCTTTGTTGGAGCTTTGTTTTAGATCTTGTATGAACTTCTTTACTTCCTTAATTTGGTGTTCAGTGTTTTTTCTCAAATCACTTAGTTAATTCGTTATGGTTTCCTTGGACTCCCATTCCTTCTGTTGCTTTCCATTCAGCATTCCCTTTGCGGTCTCCCTGACTTCTTTTAACTTTCTCTTTATGGATTCCATGAATGCCTTTAGCAATCTTTGTGTATTCTCATCCTGCTCTCTCATTTCCTGTATTACTCTTTGCTTAGCTTTCTCACATTCACACCATTCCTTTAGTTCTCTTTGAGTGTTCTCAGCTTGTTCACGCCATTCCTGCATTTCTCTTTGAGTATTTTCATGCTGCTCACGCAAATCCTGTATGTTTTTGTGTAGCTTCCTCATGCTCATGATATTCCTGTATTAACCTTTGGTTTAACTCCTATCTCTCCCTATCACGCTCCTACAGAGTCCATTTTATGTTTTCAATCTTTTCATTTACCATGTTAGCCAGCCTTGTTTGTAGAGCTATTTGGGAACTCTCCTCTGGATTATTCATTATCTGTTCTGTCCCCTGATTATCATGAGTGGGAGTTAAGATACCCGGACTTGCCATTTTTCTTGTGTTTTTCTGATTTATTCTGCCCATTTGGGATTATAGTAACACCAGTTTTGTGCTAGAACATTATCTTAAGGCAAGTATCAACCAAAGTCTGTATTTGCATAGTCAAAATCTGCAGATACAATCTAGTTCAACAGATATATCTATTCAACATCAAACAGCTATATATTAATGGGCTACAAACCACAAAAAAAATTGGCAAACCAGGAATTATGAGGTTTAGGGAGAAATGTGGGTAAAAATAGGACTAAAGAGATGTGGGAATGCACATGGAGAGTTAAATTAACTAAGTCCTAATCTCAAAGCAGGAAATAGGTTGGATAGGATGAAAGTAGAGAGAAAGAGAAAAAAAGAAGAAAGAGAAAGGGGAAAAAGAGACAAGAAAAAATAGAAAATAAAAATTAAAAATTGCAATGCTTAAAAATTATGCAGATGAAAATGAAATATTCAGAGAAGAGCGTGGATATAATGAGAGAAGGGGAGGGATATAAGGAGATGTAAAAAACTACAAAATAAGAATTCTTAAAATATTATATAGGTATAAAGAGGTAGTACTGCTATTAAGGAGTTTAAATCTAAGAGGTTTTGAATTGAGTAATAAATTTGTGGATTAAGTGTGTACACAATGTGAGATAAGTTCTAATAATTGACTAAGGGTATATATGAGGATGTGCAGAACAGTAATTAAGTCACAAAATGGAGAATGTAAGAGAGGAAAAGGTGAAAAGAATAAGCAAGAAAGAAAAAAAGATCATAAGTTCAGTAGAGCTAAATAAAAAACAAAAAAAGTAAAAAAATATTTAAAGGAAAAAAAAAAAAGAAAGAAAAACGCACACACACATATACCCCTAAAATAAAAATTATAAGGGGAAGAAAAAAAAAGTTACTAGAAGACAGTTTTTTTCAAAAAAGGTAAAAATTAAAAATTTTTAAAAAATTTAGAAAAAAAATTTTATAAAAGATACAAAAAGAAAAAAGAAAAAATTTCTTTAATTTTTTTGGGTGGGGAGGGAAGATCCTGTCTCTCTTATGTTCATAATCAGCCTCTTGTTGGAGTCTCTGGTCTGCTTGCAGCGTTTGATTTTCCTGTGGCTTGGTTGGTTTCTTAAGTCTGTTGGTTTGAGCAGGCAGAAAAATGCTCTGCTTTACCCAGGATTTTGTGATCCTCCTCCCAGGCTAGTTCAATGGGAGAGAGGTCTGCATTGAGTATCACAAAAGAGGGAGATGGATGTTTCCTCAAGTTTGGAGATGCTGTGCTGAGGCTAGTTTCTGGGTAAAGTTGAGGCCTTTCAGCAAACAGTAGCTTTCCCCTGAGAGGCTAGATTGTGAGAGACTCACAGAGCCCAGCTTGGAGCCACTCTCAGAGTTTATGTTTATTGAATTTCAATTGGTTGTCCAGGCTCCTAAAGGGAGGGCCAACCTCTGGCTCTGATTACCCAGTGAAGAAAGCCATTCCTGGGGCTGGTGGCCCGAGCTGGGTGACTTTTCCCTGGGTGGAGCTGAGTCTGGCAGGTCAGTTTAGATTCTTGTGACCTACTAAATGACTGTAGTTTTCTTGCAAGACCTATGTTGGATTTAGCAGCTCAGCCGAACTTTGTCAGTATCAAAGATGGAGATCTCCGGTAGTGGGGGGGAGGGGTGGCCTTCCATCCTCTGTTCCCTGAGAAGGAGTGAGGACATCAGGCTTCTACTCACTCCCAGTCTTGGTTCCTGTGTCATCTCTGGTCTGCGAACTGCAGGATGAAGATGTCTGCTCCTTGTCGGTTCTTTCTGGTGTTGAGTAGAATCCGCTCACCCGCTGCATCTGGCTACTTCTTCCTCAAACTGTGTGTTTCAGGTATGGCGGCTACGGCCGCCGCTGCCACTGCTGCCGCCTCAGTGGCCGCTGTTGGCAAGAGCTCAGATCAACTTGCCTGGATTTTCCCTCTCTGGCCTAACTCTCTGTCCTGTGATGGCACACTTGGTGTGATTCTCTGGCTTAGGACTGTTCACTGGAACTCTAAAACTGCTTTCTACGTGAGAACTTGCTTAGTCTCCAGCTTCTCCTCCGCCATCTTCCCAGAACTCTCCCCCCATTACCTTGTTTTTCATCCCTGTGAACAACTTCGTTCTACTTTCCATAGGATAGCTTTGTTTTCACTGCATGTAGTTACTTATTGATAATCAAAGAAAAAGGTTGTAAAAGAAAAAAGAAGTTTTAGGTCACAAGTTAAAGTATCTTATCTGTTCCAATGATTCCTATGAGATAAAATTGATAATAGTAGTGAAAGTGAAAAGGAATTCCTAGATCTGTTGTTTTGCCATTTAAAATGGCAAAGAATAATATCACGTCACTCTTATAATTCTTAAAGAATGCAAGGGAAACTGTCACTATCATGTTCCCACAAAACCACTGGATCCTGAAGGATAACAGTAGAACAGCCGAAATTATAAGTAGCAGAAATGGAGCATGAAAGAGAAAGGGAGAAAATGAGAGAGAGTGAAAGATAGAGGGAAATATCATAATACTGAAAGTGCATAACAGATAAACAAAAGCTGTATGAGAATATTCATACTGCTATCTTTAAACTCTACATGTACATTTGAAGGTATTTGATGTATGATAACCCATCAACATAAAATATAAAATGATTTTGATAAAAAAATGACTCAGAAGAAATTATAAATGCAAAAGCAATCTTCACAGAAGCAAAATCTCAGAGATATTTCATGACTTTGAAAAGGATTAAGTGGCTGAAGTTAGTATAAATTTAGAAGTATGCCAATTCACAAAAAAATATAAAAAGATATTAATATATTTCATTATATAACCCAAAGCAGAAAGCAAATGTTGTTTAGATGATTTTTTAAAACACATTCTCTCAGGAGCTGGGAAGGTGGCTCAGTGGAGAATACGTGCCTTGCATGCATGAGGCCCTGGGTTTGATTCCTCAGCAACACAAAAGTAGAGAAAGACAGAAGCGGTGATGTGGCTCAAGTGATAGCGCTAGCCTTGAGATGAGGGACAGTACCCAGGCCCCAGATTTCAAGCCCCATGACCAACAAATCAATATAAAAAACAAAACAAAACAAAACATAGCCTCTCACTTTTGTGGCCTCAACTCTGTAATACCGCTGCTTCAGCCTAGTGCTAAGATTTTAGGTGTGGACATTTATCATCCCTCCTGATTCAGACTGTACTTGATAATTTTTTTATAAATATTTTGTTCTTTATTTTCCTCTTTGTAAATTTACATGCACCTATAAAAAAATGGCTTGGCCATCCCAGTAACCTTCTCAAAGAACCTCTTGATGACGACTTACAAAAAGTTGTATTATATTAAAACAAGGGAAACAATGCTACAAATAAGAAAACAAATAATTAAATATTAATAATTAATAAAATAAAAAACATTTACTAGTGTTTTAAGTATTTGAAGTGTACTACAAATTAGATTTGACTATTTTCTCATATTCCTGTACATTTAACACTGGCTAAGATTTTGATGTTGAACAAGAGTTTTATAGGCTATGAGTAGTCTTTAAATTTGCCCACTAAGATTACTTTTTATGAATCATCTCATCTCCTCTTTTTTTATATGGCTTATATCATCATTTGTTCCTCACTAACTTATGAAGTAATGTAAGGAAGCCCTAAAGTTTGAACAGAAACTGTGTAGTTTACAAAGTCTTAACTCTTCATTCTGCTTCTATACACAAAAACTTTGCAACTTCTCATTAGTAATGATTCTATAAACTCTGAAATTTACATACTTAGTAGCATATATCTGCTACCATAAATCTTAAATACTTTATAGAAAAGTTTTATGACCTGCCAAACCATCCTAATTTTGGCATATATAAGCAAATTCTCAAATTTAAATACATTTAAAACATTAAAACTTTTAACAAACCTGAACACTTTCTGCAGTGTTCATTATGACAGGTGCCTTGTATAGAATAATTGAATTCCTCCTCCCACACATCTCAAACAACAATTATCTGGAATTATTTAATTTTTGACATGTCAATCTTGACTTTATTCTTAAATGTGTGCTTATGTAAGAAATACATGGTTCTAAAACTTCATGAAAATTCCTTTGAACTTACTTTTTTGAATTGTCCAGTTTAAGAAAATCAGTTGAACTTTATATATAAAAAATGTTTTGTGCTCAATTCGGTAGCACATACACTAAAATTGGAACATTACAGAGAAGATTGCCATGGCCCTGCACAAGGTTGACATGCAAATTCGTGAAGTGTTCCAGATGCTGTAGAGGATGTGGCCCCAAGGGAACCCTACTGCATTCTTGGTCGGAGTGTAAACTTTGGAAAGTATGGAGGGTCCTCAAAAAACTCCATAAAAACCTCCACTATGACCCAGCAATCCCACTTTTGGGGATTTACCCAAATGATCACAAACAAGACCATACTAAAACTACCAGCACAACTATGCTTACTGTAGCATTATTTACAATAGCTATGATACGGAGCCCACCCCGATGGCCCTCAGTAGATGAATGGATGAAGGAAATTTGGTATATATACACAATGAAATTCTATGCCTCCATCAGAAACAATGACATCACCCAATTTGTTAGGAATTGGAAAGACTTATAAAAAAAATTCATTAAGTGAAGTAAGCTAAGTCCAAAGAAACATAGTCTGGGATAAGCAGAAAAGGTCAAAAGCTACGTGCATATGACCAGATAATATGGTATTAAGGGAAATGAACCCCAAGATAGGGACACAAGTGGTTTTATCTTTCTTTCTATTGTTTCTAACATACTTATAATGTGCAATGGGATATTTTTTGTTTCTTTGTATGTTTCTCTCCCACACTATAACCCCTTTTTTCACTGTATTTGAAGTTGGTGCCCCTACATCCTATGAATACGTTCTCTAATTTGGGGAGGGGAAGGGAAATAAAAAAATGCTTAAATAGGGATATAGGTTGACCCATTGTAACAATGAGATGAACAAGATATTCTGTTGAAAATTGACCTTTACAATTTAGGCAGGAAAAGGGGGAAGGAAGTGTATTTGTGGAGGTGGGAGGGTAGGGATGATGGGTGGAAAATAAAGGAGGAGGTAACAATGAATGTTAGGAATTGTACTCATTACTTGCTCATGTAAATGTGACACCCTGTGCAGTATTTTAACAATTAAAAAAAGTATAAAAATTTTCCGAGATGGAAGAGTTATTTCCTCTATTTTACCCATATAATATCATTAACAAAGAAATTAATGCAGAACACTGATTTGATGTTATTTTGAATAAATGTGTGGGTGTGGGTGTGGGTGTGTGTGCGCATACCCGGACGTGCACACACTCCCATGCTTGTGTATTAGCATGCTCAGAGTTTGAAATCAGGGCGTCTAGGTCTTGCTAGGCCTTTTCTCTCTAGATTTGTGAGCACTATATGAGCTACATCTCCATTCCTAGCTCTTTCCTAGTTCATTATAAGTTTTGAAAAATTTTGCCCTGATTGGCTTCCAACTGTTATCCACAGATCTCAGGCTACTGAGTAGATATCTACAGTAGATAGGATTACAGGTGTGACCAGCCAACACAAGGCTTTCAGAATAATTTTAAGAGTAGGAGAAAATTACTTCTCGGGGGCGCGTTTGATCATCTCCTACATTTAAAGCATTTTGGAGTGAATATCTGTGAATTTATTTCGTTTTGGGATTCTTAAAAGACAGTAAGTGAAGCTACTTAAAATTTTAGTACTTTTTAAAAAAGGCTATTGGAGCTGTGGGACAGAAGAAATTTGACTATCTTTGGACCTCAATTTATAAGCTCAGCTCTGTGCAGGATAACCCAATGTCACCAACACAGTCTGTGTTGAGGATAAACTGTAACAGAAAACAATCACCATGGGCAGTAACTGTTATGCTTGTTATGTTTTTCTTGGACAACATGAATATTGAATTGAGAGTGTAGGAGAATGGAGATTTTACCTACTTTTTGTGTATTGCTGGAAAACTTTTGGAAACATTAACTTATTTTCTTGCTTACTCTTTGTCTTTGGACCATGCACTTAGTGTCTTTAATTACAATTTTTCCCAACACTAAAATGATAATAACATTAGCATTATAGAAAATGTTACCTTAAGAATTTTGAGAAATAAAACTTGTGAAATACTTAACATAAACTTCTATGAATGAGCTTTGAGTTTAGCCAGCAGGTTTTTAAATACTAAATAGAATGCAATAAGTATTACAGAAACCATTAGAGATAGTGAGCATCCAGAAGTAATGTTATCTATTTACCATGCTCTGTTTCCAAGGAAGCCAGTTGGATAATTTCTCATGCTGTAAATCAAACTGGTTATCTTATGTCTTTGTAGTGTAAAAATATCAGGGACAGAATAATGAAGGAATGTTTTAGACTGAGGTGAAGTCCATATGAAAATGTGCAAGGATTCAGGAGGACCTGTTGCAACAATGAGAAGTACAAATTGTCATGTCAAAAACGAGCTTTACAATGTCAGTGGGGGGGGCGGGGGGGAAGGACTGGGGGGAGGGGGGAGGCTGGGAAGGGAGGTGAAGGGTAAACAAAGGAGGAGGCTGCAATGCTTGGTAAGATATGTATGCATTATCCTGCCCATGTAATTGTAACCCCTCTGTACAGTATGTTCACAAATAAAATAAAATAAAAATAAATAAAAAAATAAAATAGAATGTGTAAAACTGATAAAACGTAAAAGTATCTGAGCAGGGGCTGGGAAGGTGTCTCAGTGGTAGAGGGCTTGCCTTGCATGTCTGAGACCCTGGTTTGATTCTACAGCACCACATAAGCAAAAAGAAAAAAAAAGCCGGAAGTGGAGCTGTGGCTCAAGTGGTAGAGCGCTAGCCTTGAGCTGAAGAGCTGAGGGACAGCGCCCAGGCCCAGAGTTAAGGCTCACAACCGGACCCCCCCTCAAAAAAAACCAATTCTTTCTCAGAAAAGTCGACACAAAGCACAAACAGAAATTAATAAAAAAAGTACCTGAGCAGTATATTGTGTTTTACATCATTTAAGTTACATTGCAAAAATAAGGAATACCTAGAAGAATGAATTGTCTATTTGATATTATATCATAGGTCCTCAGGAGAATGAACTCTTTCCTCATTCTTGTAGAGGCAATATCAAATTAGAGGAACTGTATTTTTTCTTTGCTTCTTTACATTTATTCTTCAATTTGAAATCTGAACTACATGAGACTGAAAGAATCTAAGGGAAATTAGACACGCTTTGGAAGAACAATCATCATAAAATAAATAAAATACATATAGTCTTATAAAAGGCCTAACTAAATTGAGTTATATAGTCTTAAGTGTAGACAGAAAATGATTTAAACAATATCATGTAATTGAAAAATGAAAAATGTTAGTAATTGCTTAATTTTTTTCTTTCTAAAACCTTGAATTAATTATTGATTTTGGATAGATAGATCAAAGATGAGATTAACAAGAAATTATTAAAAATGGACAAAAGTTCTGAATAGACAAGTTTTCCAATAGCTTTACAATTGCCAGTGGCTTTACAAAGTTATGTTTAATACCACTTCTATGCTGGCTTAATGCTTTCTGAACAGAAGTCATTAGAGAAATGCAATTCAAAATTAATATTTTACTTCATAACTATTATACTCATTAAAAAATTAGAGGAACCTGGTGTGGTGGTAAATGCTTGTAATTCCAAGCATTTCAGAGGTTGGTGTAAGGGGATTTGAGTCTAAGGCCAGTCTAGGGTACTACAAATAGTAAAAATCTGCCCTTTCAAAAATCTCAGAAGGTAATAATGTTGGTGAGAGTGTAGAAAAAAGGAAATTTTCTACACTCTTCGTCAAAATACAGGATAGTATTCTCATTGTAGAAAGTAGTATGCAGTTTTCTAAGAAATGCAAACTTGAAATATCATCTGATCCACCGATCATGTGATTATTTCTCTATGGGTAACTGATAAATATATCTGTAGTTCATTATTATTCACATTATTCACAACAACAGCCAAGATAAAAATCAAAGTTAAGTGTTCAAGTACAGACTAATAAAGCACCTGTGGTGCATGCACAAATATAATTTTCTGTTTCATACTTAAAATAGCAAGAGATTTCTCCCATTAGCCACAACTTACAATAACCTGAAAGATGTATTCAAATCAAGAAAAATATTGTCTTCTGATCTTTGTAAAACACACACACACACACACACACACACACACACACACACACACACACACACACACACAACAACCTCAAATATTTAGAGAGAATTTTTTAAAAGTAAAGCAAATTGGAATTGCTGGGGCATTTAGGTCACAGTGTAGAAGAGAGCAGATATACAGGTTGACCAAGTATAGATTTGTAATGTACAACATGAGGATACAGGGGACAACACTGGCCTGACATAGGAATGAAGATAAGTAAGTAGGAGTTGTTCTTCCTCATAGGGGTTGCTATTTCAGTTGTTCTTCCTTCAGTAATGGATAAGATGAACATAATTCTTTAAGTATAACTGCCTGTTGCCCCATTTTTCAGGAAATGAAAAGACTTGAAAAAAATTATATTAAGTGAAATAACCTAGGCACAAAGAAACATAGGTCCTATGGTTTCCCTTATTTATAATAACTAGTATATATCTGAAACAAGCAGAAATGGTCAGATAAGTTGATTTTAGGCGAAAAGTACCCCAAGATAAGAACTCGGATTTTTTATAATCTTTCTTGCTATTGTTTCTAACATATTTATAAGATATTTCTGTGTAGCTTTTTATGTCCCTCCCCCACGGTATAACCCCTGTTTGCACTGTATTTGATGTAGGTATAATTTGTGGAGGGGAAGGAAAAAAATTGTTTAAATAGGGATACAGGTGGACCCATTGAAACAATAAGATGTATAAGACGTTATGTCAAAAAACGAACTTTACAGCTTTGGCACGGGTTGGGGGGAGTGATAGGAAGGGATGGCAAGGGGAAACAAAGGAGGAATCAACAACGCTTGATAAGAAATGTACTCATTACCTTGCCCATGTAATTGTAGCCACCCTGTATGGCATTTATATAAAAAATATTAAGAAGATACATTATATTACACCTGATACATACTTCACTTTATTGCTTAAATAAATGTTAGGCCTCCTCACAAAAAGGAAATAATAACAAACAATATTGCAATAATGTATGCTCAACAGAGAACAAAATGTCAAATTAAAATACATGAAATTTTCCTTGATGTAAACTAATTATTACAAATAAGAGAAACCTTGAGACCTATGTTCCTTTAA